GTCAATTTGGTGTATCATATAAGGGTGAAAATATTGAATGAATCACAATAAGACAAAATACAGGTAAAAGAGTCATACCCTGCCTCGTTGTCCAGCACCGATTATGGCGAGCGTGATGCGATCTTCCTGTTCTTCCTCCTCCTCTGGCCTCTCTACCTCGAAAACCCCGTGAAGGTGAGATGTCGAGTTCCCATTCCCAATCCGCCCATTTCCTACAGCGCCCTGGTCCGAAGTGGGAACCTCCGGCGTCGTTACAGGGTACTGAGAGCCCTCCGATGGTCTCCAAGACACTCTCTTGAGAGCCTTTTTGAGGATCTTTGACATGGCTTGGGACAGGAGAGGTCCAAGATGACCACGCGTATTTTCCAGCGGGATTTAGGATGGCGAAACGGGCGCTCAAGAAACCCGCTACCTATTGGCCATTCGCAGGCCCCGAGTTTTAAAGACGCCCACTAGGGGTAGACAGCGCTTGAAGATCTCCATCCGTTTGTTTACCGATGGCTACGCTGGCATGAGTTTCACCATTTTGATACAGCTTTTGCAAGCGTCGATGGATCGCAGGCGTTGGAAGCAGGCTTTCTCATAGAAACGCAGATAGAGCCTTGCACAATTAAATGGGCTAAGCGACGGTGTCTAGAAATCGCTTAACTGTGTCTCATTGCATTACGTTACAATAGCAATATGGTCTATTGAGCTTCTATTACTTCTGAGATGGAGAGATGGGTTGAGTTTACAACCAGCAAGATGGACTGGTGCCGATACGCAGATCAAGGCTAAGGATTGGTTGCCGGTCACCTTAATGCCAGATACACAATGTTGCAGGGATCGTGTATCCAAATGGATGCCAAGAATATTCCCGATTGATAAGTAGAATGACACGATTTGCGAGTGTCCCGTCCGGCGGAACCCGAGTATCATCGCGAAGACTCCAGCAGGTTAGCGAGGGTCTGTGGGTCAATGTCTTCAAATTCTTTTTCAAATTCGTCTTCATCCTCTTCTACATGTTTAAGATCAGGTAGGTAGGCCTGGTACATTTCTTCGAGGTTGGCTTCATCTTCGTCATCATCGTCGCCAAAGGCATCTTGAGTAAATGAAGCAGTGGAGGGATCGGCTCGTGGAACAACTTGGCTAGGCGGGGCGAGAATGCTTTGTGAGCTTGGGTTGGCCAATTCCTTTTCAAGCGCGTCTAAATCCTCCATGAACACGTCGTCTGAGTCCCCAAACTCTCGTTCATATGCCAGCCTCCTTTGGTGGTCGAGGCGACGTCTCTCTTCGATCATAATGCGGCGATACAACTGGAGCCTAAAGTCAGGGTCACAGTGTATGGACACCTCTCAAAGGAGAGTATTAGGCGAGCTTACTTCATCATCTAAGTCATCCATATTATCCTCCATATCAATGTCACCCTCACTGCCGGCTTCGCTACTCAGCTCCTCACTTCTTCCCCTGTCATATGCCTTTTGTCTTTCTTTGCGCGCTCTTTTCTCGACCTGAACGCGTAGTCTTTCTCGCCATAACGTCCTTTGAGGAGTCTCTTCCGTCTGAAATCCAGACGCCTGCGTTCTGGAAGCGTCTCGCGAAGAGGAAGCTGTGAGACCGGCACTCGTGCGTGGTTTGTATTGAGCGAATCGACGAGTCGAGTCTATGGGAGAAGACATTGGTGATGATGATTGCGCATCCTGTCTTGGTGTGGTGGCCCAAGGGTCCATTTCTCACAAAATTCGCCGAGTGATGGTCGGAGTTAGCGCGTGGTGAGCTGTGCTTTGGTCACCACCTGAAGCCTTTCCACTTGCACTTGAACTAAAATTGTCACTAAAATTTCGAAACACCTCTCATTTGTCGGATCAACGTCTTCCTGGAAGAATCTAGTGCTCGACTCTAGTTTTTCGAAACAACCCTCTTCTCTGGCTAAATGGTTGCCACGAGCCGGAAATGAGTGTAAACCTCCGACAAAGTAGGCTCACCATTCGAGAGATAGAAGCATCAGCAAGGTGTCCAATCGAAGCATTTCTTAGGTTTCGTTCACCATTCTTGGACGAAGAGATTCGCGGAAGA